GCTGCTGCATGATTCACGTTGAATCCATTGCGCAGAAACCCCGGACAATCCAAATCAGCTGCTGTACTCGTCGTCATGCTCAAGCGCCGCCGGGTGGCAACGTCCGTGGGCTTGCCCGGCAAACGATGCGTCGCATTCGGAACGCCCCGTGAAATGCACGTCAAGCTGGCTCGTCGCGCGCGATTGGCGGCTAGATAGTTGCTGCGTTCGTCCATGACGTTGGTCATGCTTGACGTAGAATACGATAGGGGCAAAAAGCTGATGGATCTTCCGAAAATCTGTCGCTATCTGGATCAGTCACTTGTCTCTGTGAACGTCACTCTTTGTTGCTGCAGTCGTTCGTCGAAAATGCTTTGCCTCTCTCCTTTGAAAGTTTAGATTTGTATCTCAATTTAATCAGCTCTTTTGTTGATGGCCGTGTCTGTGGCAACGCGGAGTGTTTTGAGGAAAAGCGAACAAGGCGCGCCATTTCTACGACTAGGTCTTGCGACGCACTGGTACTCGTTCAGGTGTCGGAGCGGTTATGAAAAAACTCATCGAACGAGAATTCGTTTCGCTCCATGGAGAGAATCGACTTGCGAATTGACTCCTCAAGACAAATACAATGAGTAGCAGCACTGAGAGTGGATGCTTGCCGGCAGAGGCGGCGGCGGCATCTGATAAACTAGCTCCCTTGGCTTTTTCCGAAAACATTATTTGTCCGCCGGCGATTGGTGCATCATCATCTTCCACGCAGCTGCCACTACATTCCACTGCTACTGCTACTGAAACTACTACCAGAACTTGTAGTAACACTGCAACAAATCAATCAGTTGCGTCTCCTCCTTCTCAACCCTTGTCCCGCAGATCGCTTTCGGACGCTCCATCATTAGTAAATCGACGACAAGCTCAACATCATTATACTGTTCGAAACAATTGCTTGGTGCGCCTTGTCGGTTACTGCTTGGTGTTCATTGCGTTTCTCGTATTGCTTCCAGTTCTCCTGTTCATGTATTGGCCTTATCTGCTGCTGTATACTTGCTTTGTGATTCTGTTTGTATGCTGGTACTGCTGCTGCAAAAGGGAGCCTTCGACTGGACTGAAGCGTGAGCAAGTGTACGATCGATTGTTAAAGCGGCAGTGTGAAGGAATCGTTCACGCAGCAGCTGCAAATGCACAAGGAGCAGTCAACGTTTTGAACAATCAACTCGTTGATGGACCCGTCTACTGGTGCATGCTGCAGCAGCATGACAACGGCGACGACGAAGAACGAAACGAACAGTGTCATTGCCTCTTGTTCTCCAAACCACTCTCCATGGACGAAATAAAGGTATTGGAAGCGACTACTGCTGCTACTACTACTGCTGCTGATATCGAGAATAATGCCGAAACTTGCAATGCGACGAACACAAAGGCAATGGTTTCAACAGTTCCATTGGCTGCACCAGATGCGAGCAGCGTTGAAGCATTCTTAAACGTTGCGCCACCGCAGCAACAAGCTGGCGCGGCTCGGACTGCCGCCAGTGGAGATGCTGAACATGACATTAGTAATGAGAATGACGAAACCGAAACTTGCTCGACAGTGCAGCATGGTTTCATTTGCGACATTTGCTTGGCCGAGTACGAAGCGGGCCAAGTCGTCGCATGGTCCAAGAATGAGCAGTGCAAGCACGCCTTTCACGTGGACTGCATCACAGACTGGCTGCTTCGTCGTCCAACCTGTCCCACCTGTCGACAGGAGTACATTGACGTTACCAAGAAGCGACGGACGAAGCGGTCGTTGCGGTGATTTGAATCCAAGGTTTCTACCTTTTATATATAAATAATGTACACATTTTTTGCATGATTTCGAATCTCATCAATACTGGTTGTGAAGTGCAAGGGGGTACTTGCCAACCGTCTAACGAACAACCAACAAGAAGTCATCGTTACAGTATGATGATACATATTCGGACGAAACACAATAGCTAAAAGTGTGACACACATTCGTAGCGGTACTCGTTCACGCCACGACGTCAAAAAAGTTCTTCGGCAGCGACACGCTGGCGGAACAACTTGACAAGCTGCATTGCCGCCGCTTGTTCTCGCCCAAAGCGAGGAAGAACGAGACGCATTGCAGCATATAGAAGTAGCTTGTTTCAATAGTGGAATATGGTAATGACAATGAAGCTTCAAGTCTTTTTATTCGTCCTACTCGCAGCTCTGAATCCATCGACCAATGCCTTGGTGTCGCATGCTGCAGTTTACAAACTGTCTCCGTTTCAGTCTTTATCGAATCAACCATGGCAGACGACGACGACAAGTCTCTGCATGCAGCAGCATGGTGGACGACGACGACGAAAACGTGACTTGTAAGTTCCATGCATACGAGTTTATCGATGCTACTCGCGCTTCGCGTGCAGTAAAGTCACTCACTTTTTGCTCCAAAACCCGACTTGTTTTGCAGAATTCGTTCATGGAAACCTACTCGATTACAACCAGAAGGCTCTGCTCAGCGACGACACTCGTGGCAGCTTGGAGATGCGGAGCAACCACCCGAGGAACAGAGCAATGAGCCGGACGACGCAGCAGCAAGTATCGACTCGTCGAAAAATGCGACAACGTTTCTGGACCACTTGAATATTTCAAAATCCGCCAAACACACGCTCCAACTCGTTGGCGACAAGCTCAAGCAGTTTCAAGTGGTGCTGCTGAGCTTTTGCGCCGGCGCCTTCATTGCCATGACGGCCATTTTGGTGCCCATTTACAGTCAGGTGGAAACGTCGAGTCAGCCCGTAACCTTGTTTGAAACCATACTCAACGACCTGCAGTCGGCCTATGTGGATGAAGTGGATGCCAACAAGCTGTTTGAAACGGGAGTGTCGGCCATGTTACGATCGCTCGATCCGTACACGGAGTTTGAGGGTGCGCAGGAGGCGTCGGACATGGCGGAAAGTATTGAAGGGAAATACGCGGGAGTCGGTTTGGTCATTTCGGGGACGGATGCCAAGACTATGGAAAAGGTCAAGAGCTTTCAAGAAAAGAGTAGTGCAGGTGGCAGCGGCAGTAGTAAGGATGTTTCCATGCAAACAAACGATGACGGATCAACGGACGAAATATCGAGCGAGTCGGATGCCGACGACACTGACGATAAACTCCGCAACGTCATGGCCAAGGCTCAGGAACGAGGCATTCGCGTTGTTTCTGCGTTTGAGGGCTACGCTTTTGATTACGGCTTGCGAGTTGGTGACAAGCTTGTTGCAGTGGACGACATGCCTGTAGGCCCCGACGCGACTGTGGAGAGTGTTCGAAACATGCTGCGCGGTGTGCCGGGTACGACGGTGACGATTGGATTTGAGCGGGTTGGCGTTGATGGAGTGCAGACAATTTCCATGCCGCGGACAGTTGTTCGAACAAGGTGAGTAAGAAGTGTTTTGAATGTTGCATAGCTTGCGGACAAGTCATTTTCTAAGAAGTATTACTTCAACAGGGACGTAAAGCTTGCTACTTTGGTAGGAGATCCAAAAGATGGCATTGGCTACGTGCAGTTATCGGGTTTTACTTCCGATGCTGGACGACAAATGCGCCAAGCCATTGCCCACTTGCAACGCTCCGCCGAGGACGCCACCAATGGCAAGCAGTCGCTGCAGGGCATTATTCTTGATTTGCGTGGTAATCCGGGCGGACTCTTGACATCTGCCGTCGATGTCGCGTCACAGCTCGTTCCCAAGGGCAGCGACATTGTGGCAGCTCGAGGACGCGGCTTTCCTGGTGTCATTTACAGGTCTCGGGTGGATCCGATACTTGATCCAAGCACCAAGCTTGCTGTTTTGGTCAATGGAGGGACCGCGTCTGCTGCTGAGATTGTATCTGGAGCTGTTCAGGATTTGGATCGTGGCGTTATTGTTGGTGCAGATCGTACGTTTGGCAAGGGTCTAGTGCAGAATGTTGAGGAGCTGCCGTTTGGAACTTCGCTAAAGTTTACAGTTGCCAAGTATTACACTCCCAGTGGTCGGTGCATACAAGGAATTACCTATAAAGAAGGGGGAGGCTTGGGAGCTGAAGACGCTGGATATACTGAAACAAAGGTCCGCGAAAATGACCGTCAAACGTTTTACACCAAGGCTGGACGCATTGTGAAAGACGGCGGCGGAGTGGAAGCTGACTATAAAGTTCAAGCGCCCAAGGCTTCAGCCCTGGAAGTTACGTTGTTGCGATCAGGTGTCTTGAACGATTTTGCCGCAGAATGGTGCAAGAATAATGAACTGACAGGTCATCAGTTTAAAATTGACGAGGATACGTACAAGAGCTTTCAAGCATTTGTAAATAAGAAGCAACAATCTGGCGAGCTCGAGCTTGAGGCGATTTATAGCAAGTCGCTCGCCGACCTAAAAAGGGCACTCAAGAAGAGTGGGTACAAGGGTTCCGAAAAGGGCGTAGAGCAGCTTCAGGCTAACATTGTACGCGAGATTCAAAAGGACTTTGAACGATATCGAAGCGATATTAAGGAAGACATTACGCAAAGCATTTTAGCGCGATACGTTCCGGAAAGCATGCTGATTGAGCGTCTCATCAAGACGGACGAGCAGGTTCAGGCAACCATCAAGCTGTTGGCGAGCGACAAGAAGTATGACCGCATCATGGCCAAGGGTAGTTCGGTGGAGCGAGCTGACGGAAGCGGCGTCAGTGGCAGCATGGCCATTGCCAATACACCTTCGGAGGAAGAAATTAAGGCTGGTGCAAGCATACGGTGGTAGGACGCGGCCTTATAGAAAAGACACTGTGTTGTACTATCACGATTATATGACAACGACTGCCGAGCAAATAACCATATGCGCTCGGCGACAACAATGTATATTGCGGACTTAAAATATTCGCCGCTATAAGTTTTACTCGAGTCAAGTCACTCCCACGAAAGTGCAGATTGAACGTTATGTAACAAGTCACTGCCATCATAGCTTAAAAAGTCATTGGGTGACTGTCATTTCTTACTGTAGCACGGCAAAAACAATAATCACTTCCGGTAGCAAAAAGAATAACAAAGCTGATGCCGAGGATTGAACTCGGGATCTTTTGATTACAAGTCAAATGCGTTACCACTGCGCCACATCAGCCGTCGTTCATCCAATGGGACGACATTCTGCTACAACTAAGCTGCATACGCACGATTGAATTGACTGTCATCACTCACATTTTGGCCTGCCGATCATTTGTGCTGAGCTCCAATCGTTGATCCCGTCTTAAATTGAATTGTTTATCAAACCCTGGTCTTGCCGTTTCTATCTACAGCAATCATTGTTTCTCTCGTCCAGTTGAAAATCGGATCTTGCCAAGTGCCGACGATTTTTGACGACCCATCTGACAGAGGTGTGAATGCCAGTTGACCACGAAGAACCATGCCGCTGTCACTGAGATGTTTCAACCGAAGAAGAAGGCTAGGCCGAGTAGCCAATTTTATACCGTATTCGCTGGTCATTTTTCATCTGTATGCTCTCTTATCTTTCCATGGTGCTGGCGTAGATGTCATGGCTGACAACAATGTCGACGCTGCATCGAAAGATGCATCAGATCCTTCAAATCTAGAGAAAGATTCGAAAGCATCATCTGCATTCACAATCCTCACGGACGATCAACAAGACAGCTTGTATGATCCTGTCCAAGCCGATCCAGACTGTACAACCTCAGAGGATGCCACTTGTTACGAGCCGCCAATCTCTACCCTTGATGCTGCAACAATAGACGCCACGTGCAGCTACGGAGGAAACGATCCAGACAATCGAAACAAGGGGCAATGCTCTTCGTCGCTCTTTGTGGACAAGCATTGGGGATCGGACTCGTCGATACTGCACATGCGAGAAACCCTTCGTCGCTCGGGCAGTGGAGTTTCGCAAAAACCAAACGGAGAGGAGAAGCAGCAGCAGCAACCGCCACATGAGCAACAATCATCAAAACGAAACAAGCGACCGCCCATTTTTCTACTGCCAGGCTTGGCATCGACGCGACTTGTCGCGTGGCGATTCAAAGCTTGTCCGCAGCATCCGTTGCTGAGCGACATTAAGGTCCAAGACTATGTATGGCTCAACATTAATTTGGTGCTGCAAATGTCGTCCATATCAATCGACTGCTTTCGGGAATGTTTGCGTCTCGGATGGAACCAAAGTGATACGGACGATGTCACGACAGGCTGCAAGCTGCGGCCGGATGAAGGACTGGATGCGATTTCGAGTCTGAGTCCAGGCGGCATTGGAAGCAATATGCTTATTGGCGGGACGAATACAGTGTATGCCTGGCTGATACAGTGGTTGGCGGATAATTTGGGCTATGATGTTACAAATATTGGTAAGCAAAATGCGCATCGGGTGTGTGTCAGGATCGGTTTGTTATTTTGAGACAGTCCGCTTTACAGACAATTGTACGTTCACACAGTTGGTCTGCCATACGACTGGCGCCTCAGTCCCGACAAATTGGAGGAGCGCGATGGATTCTTGACTCTCACGAGGCGACGCATTGAGGCTGCCGTGGAAAGCAACGGAAAGCCGGGCATCATGGTGGCTCACAGCATGGGAAATTTGGTCTTTCGTTATTTCTTGGAGTGGATGAGAGAGCAACTCAAGGAGGAAGCTTATGCTCGCTATATTCGACAGGCAAAACGTAGAGCAAAAGCACGGAGGAAGGCTGCGGAAGCGACTTCAAGCCCTTCATCAACGTTGGAAGGCATAACGTCCATTCTGCCCAATTGGATGGATGGCGTGGATCAGTGGTGGTCCTCGGTGGCGAACAGTGAGATGAAGGATGGGAAACCTATACAGCGACACGAAAAGCTATGGGAACTTGCGCAACTGGAAGGAACTGACATGTTTTTCGAATGGGTAGAGAAGCATATCTGGAGCTATGTCGGCCTTGCTGCTCCAATGCTCGGGGCTGTCAATCCTTTGCGTGCTGTAATAAGCGGCGAGAGTATGGGTCTTCCATTAACCGATGAGGACGCCCGGGGAATGGAAATAACCTTTGGATCAACGCATACTGTGAACCCAGTATCAACAAAGGCAGCCTTCTGCGACTCATGGGATACCGAGAGATGGGACGAAGAGCCAACTGATGAAAATTCCTCCGAGAAGCAGTCGGACGCGAAATTAGCTTGCCTCGATGACATATTTACCGAAGTAGAGTTCGGTCCATTGTTGGACGACAACCAGACATTGCCTGATGGTGATCCATGGGAGCATTAGTACGTCAATGTCAGAATGATGTAGTGCGTGCACATCCGCATTTTGTCGAATTTTTTTTGCTCATCCTGCTTTTTTCGTTTTATATAGTCCTGCGCTGAGGGTTCTCCTTAAGGAGCGACGAGACTGGGACTCCGATTTCCCAATGGTTTCAGTCACGCGCGAATATTGCAAGGAGAAAGAAAAGGCTCCGTGTGCGGTGAACGAAACGATTCCCTTCGGCGCAAAGGACGTGCAAACTGGCAACATTTTTACTAGTCTTAATAACATTTTCAAAGAAAAGGACGAGCCGCTGAAAATCAAACAAGAGCAGCTCAAGGAATCGTTTTGGGATGGCAAAGTGAAGCACTTTTTAAACAGAACGTGGGAGCGCCCGATTATCAAGCACGTTATCCTGGCGTATGGTGTCGACGTATCGACGGAGGTGGCCTACGAGTACAAGAAAAGCGAAAACCTTGACAGGAATGGCGAGAAAGAGGAGCATAGTATTCCGCGATTGACAGGCATCACGACTGAGCTAGCTGCTGGTCAACTCGAAGACGAACGAATGGACACTGCCAAAGGATTTGATTTGTTCGGGAAGAAGCGCAAAAGAACAAACCGAAGACAAGGCAGTTTACCGCATAGCGGAGACGGTAGTGTCCCTTACCTTTCTTTGGCCTGGGCACACACCTGGCTTCTGCATGCTTCTCGCGCACTGAGGTACTCGCACAGCGGTGAAGGTCTCTCAAGCCCGCTAGATGATATAAAGATCAGTCATCGTCCGCAAGGGGCCGTAGAGTGGCTCCAGGGCCCGCCACCCAAACGCGAGGTTGCACCGTTGAAAGAGAAGAAAATCGAGGAGTCAAGTGACACTGGAACATCTCATCCTCACGGAACAATGTACAAGCCAGAGATGATTCGGTATCACAACACTGGGACGAGCAGGACTACTGGAATAGAGTACACAACAACAGTCATAGAAGCCATTCAAGTCGAGCATAAAGAAACGACTCGGTGCGTAATGTCCTAGAGGAGAAATTATTTTTTGCTTTGTCGATACCGATATGCTCATCATCCTGTTTTTCGCATGTAACAATAATAGAAATTACGACATTCTGGCAGCCGGTAAGTTACTTCGAAGCCTTGTCTCGCTTAAATTTGTGTTTAGATCTCACATATGCCTTTTTCTTGCATAGTATTTACCGACATTCTGGAATTCATGCACCAGGACATGGAACTATAATCAGCGCTTCCCACTGCCAGAGGCTACTTCGAGTGCCTTTCTGACCAGCTGAGATGCAGAAATGATACGCTCCAAGCATGATGCACCAACATACAATTAACATCACAATTTACTTCCAAGCGCACTTCCTTCTCCACCACAAAGCCGATCAACGATTTGAGCCGCAATCTTTGCCAGCTCATCCGCAGCCTCCCGCGTCGGCGCTTCGGCATACACTCGGACGACATCTTCCGTTCCACTCGGTCGAACGAATGCTCGGCCTCGAACCATACGCATTGCCCTGTCAAGTTCATCCTGGACCTGCGGCGGCTCAAGGCATTTCGTTTCGTTTTCATTCACTTTTATAATGGACCGATCCTTGACCAGTACTTTAAGTTGACGAGATGGCAGATCCGAGTACATGGCGTTCCAATCCCCAATCGACATGTTTTGTAAACACAAGATGGCGTCAATCAGCAGCATATCCGAAAGCGCATCTCCCACGGCTTGATTCACCATGCTTGGCAAAACACGCAACCTCGCCAACGCTATTCTCGCCGCTGAAGTTCGCGGTTTGCAAGTTGCCACATAATCGTAAAAGGCTTGACCAAATACAACTGTTCCGTGCCCATTAGCTTCAAAGTAAACGCCAATATCAAATTGATGAGCCGACGCATGAACATACTTGACACCCGTCTTGGCAATCGCGACCGACTCTTCTCCCAGAAATTTTCGTAAATAGTCAGTAGACGCTCCATTGGCATACGCCGTCTGCACGACACCCAGTCGAATGGGCGCCTGCAAAACGTCGAGCTGCTCGCGGAGAAACGCGCAAATGAGCGTGGCCATCTTGTCGCCATCCAACAAGTACATGGATGGCTGCTCGCGCGAGTAAAAGACAATGCGGTCGGCGTCTCCATCGAATGAGCAGCAGTATGCGCCAAGATTCGTGTGACCATTGTCAGCAGAAGTGGCACCATAGACAATGGGCGGTTCCAACGATTTTTGAACATGCTCCGAACCGCATCCATGGTTCAATGGGCCAGCACCCGGTGGATTAACGGCAACGAATCGCTGAGCGTCCAAACAACCCAGCGATTGCAAGCACTCACAAAGCCCTTGCAGAGCGGCGTAACCAACGCCACAGGCGCTGTCCACCGTTAGCTGCGGCCGTCGCAATGATGCAGTCTCGTTGCTACAGTCTCCAGCAGTACTGAGCAGTGCAACGTAAGAGTGCGCCAGGAGCTGCAAATATCCAATGACGTTTCGTCGGGGCGGAATCAATGCCGGCAATGCAAACGCCCCATTGGCGTGCATGACCGCGTGGTGCAGCATGGGCGTTGTCACCACGCCATGATTGACAATTTTCAGTGCGGGATTCACCGCCAGAGCGCCTTGAACGACTAGTTCTGAGAATCGTAGCGAGTGGGACCGAGTGTCGCGGCCAATGTGAATGGTAGATGCAGTAATTGTAGATTGTTGCTGTTTCTGTCGAATCAGTTTTATCAGTTCAGCTGGACTCGGTGCATTCACAATCTCCACCGCCAAGGCTTCGTCGTCAGGTCCAATCATGCCTCCATCAGCTGCCGAGTATTTGACGCCATTATATGACTGTGACGAAAATGGGCAACAAACACGTTGTGAGAAGTTATTCTTAACAACTCATCAACCGAAGGCTATCGTG